TTCTGTCCTGTGGAGTAGTTGCCACAGCTCTGTGGTTTCCCAGAGGGTGACCATGGCCAAAGGAAGCCCTGGTGGCCCCTCAAAACTCCTGGCATGAATTATCTGTCCTCCAGGAAAGCCTGCTGATAAATCAGTCAGTGACACCCATTTTCTTTCTGGGGCTCAGTAATTGTTACAGTCTCTCCCCTTGCTATGAGGGCTGGGTTTCTCATTAGCATCTCAGAGAGCTGAAAGATGTGTAAACAGGTGTAGCTACAGAATTTCCTACTGGGTACACATCTGAGGAGGCTCCAGAGCATAAATTACTCTTTCTAAAGTCAGTTTTAAATCATGCTCACTAACAGCCATCTCCTGCCCTTGATCATTGCTCCTAGGATGGCAACAGGAGTTTCACATATGGTTTGAGTGAAGCATGAGCCCTTCAATGGCTCCACATCCACCTGTTTCAGATTGTGTCATAGGTATGTGCTTAAGCATTTCATTAACATTTCCCTTTTTTAGTGCTAACCCAAGCCATGCTAGCTCTGTCCATGCATCTGGAAGTTTGCAGCAGAGATGCAACATGCACCCAAACCTGCCAGAGGCAGCAGGGTGTGAAGCCAGGGGGTGAGCAAGGCAGCTCTGAAATATTCCTGCTGAGAACTGGATGCTTTGTCCTATTTAAATGAAATGGGGATGCAGGATGTGCAGTTTTGAAGATACAGTCCTAAATGAAGAGATTTTTAGGTGTCATCACTCCCCTGTGAAACACACACTCTGCTCAGGGATCTCAGCTGCATTTCAGTGCAAGCTCTGCAAGGACATATCCAGGTTGCTGCTTCTCCCTCATCAAAGCAGAACTGCACCCCACCTCCTTCATTTTGTGAGGTGGGAGGGTCCTTGCTATTTTACAGTTGCTCTAGAAAAACCAGTGTAGTACCAGGGGCTGAAAGAGCCACCCATAGCCTTTGTTCCACGAGCAGCAGTGTTATCCAGCAGCACGGCTCCGAAGCCTGGCTCAGAGCTGAACAGGTTTTAGCATGTTTTTTTTCATCTCATTTTTTCTGTCTCCTTTCATTTGGAAGCTCAACTGTCAAGATTAAACCATCCACCTGTGTGGCATACCCCAGCATGGCTGAACTTGATAGATCTGCACAGTTGGATTCTGCAGCAAAGATCACAGATCTGAGTCGTACACATTGAGAATAGTCTACTAATCTTTCCTCCCTCCACTCCTCCCACCACCAAAAAAAAAACCAAAAAACCCAAACATGTGTTATTCCTTACGGTGCTTTCTTTTTAAGGTCTCTCCTGTCAGCAATGTCATGATGGGAATTCTCAGTGGAAGTCTTTGAAAAACTATATTGCTGTCGTTATCTCGTGTCTTACACACGGCATGTTGGAGGGGCTGAGGACAGAAATGTGTAAAAAATTATTTGGAAGGGGAAAAACAGAGAAAAGTTAGCTATGCAAGACACAGGCAGAGTGTTCCAGGCCTGAAACCTCCAAGTACAGCTTGGAAAGAGTGAAGACCTGTGCAGAAAAGGGAAGGGAAAAGCAGGGCTGGTGCAGGGTGAAGTGGACACAAGCACCAGGTTGTGCTGCAGGGAAGCCCAGAGGTGAAGGCTTCTGCACAGAGGGTTTGGTCCTCATGCATTTTAGAGCAAGACAACCATCTGCACAGTGCTGCCCTCCTTCCATGGGAAAACACGACAGAAATGGCATGAGCTGCTGCAGGACCTTAAACCCATCCTGAGAGAAACCTTGACGTTCAGCCTCCTCAGTTCTGGGCTTGGAGTAACACACATTTCTCAACATTTCCTCCACACAATGTTTTCTCCCTGTTGGTCTCCAGTATTACCACCTGCTATGTAATTTTAGTTGCAAAATCTGGTGCATTCAAGTCCACCTTCAAGCTTTTGTTACAGTGCTCATGGCATCAAGTTCTGTATCCGATCCCCTTTCCATTCCTCAAACCAGGCTGTTGCCCCTTTATCTTTTATTCTTACCTCATCTGTTGAACAAATGTCACAGCCACAGTTATTAGAAATATTTGAACCTGACAGCTGCAAATACTCAGAGGTAACTATATGTGCACAGAACTATAATTAGTTTGAGCGTTTAATTTTGTTTTTAAATCACTGACATCCAGTATTGGAATCTCTGCAGACACAGACAATTGATACAGACAGTGTGACTTGGGGAGCTTTACGGTCATTTATTTTCCATGTAGGAAAGGATAACTAATACACCCTGCCTACAATGACATATATTGTGCTGCACAAGAAGAGATTTTTGCCTCGCTAAAGCTCAGACCACGACACATCCACTCAGACCAACTTCAGCCATGATACCACACTGACTGCAGCAGTCTAAAATTACCCCTGAGTGAGCAGGAACTACAGGCTTGGGCTGAAAAAAAAAATTAGTGCATAATAATTACTTCATGATTGCTGCAGGGTGCACTAAAAACATCAGCTGGAATCTCAGATGTTGCTTGAAGTAGGTATCTCTCATCACTCCTGTCTTATGGAGGGTCAAGACACAGAAGATACCCATTTTGCTCAAGGCAAAGAGATGAGGTTTGAGTCTACAAGCCCCAGCCTTGCATCTCATTATTCAAAGCAGTCATGAGTTCCTTGGGATTGGCAGAAAATAACAATTTCTAATTTGTTGCACCTCCTGCAGTTTGATTTCTCTGGTCAGATGCAGCCTCCTCCAAAGCTTCAGACCACCACCCTCTTTGTACACAATAAATCCAGGGAATTTATCTTTCCTTGTCTTACAGCCAGAGAAGAGCAGAGATGCTCAGAGCAGAACTTCTCCAAACAGCCCATCCTTAAATAATCCAAATCAAACTCACAGGGAAACCCCATTTCCTCTCCCAGTTCAACACATTCTTCTCTTTGTTGTTTCCTGACAAATCCTTTGAGAACTAGGACATCACAAGTAAATATCTGGTCATCCCTGCTTCTGCATTCCTGACTGATGTAGCTGTGTGTGTTGCATAATGTTGCTTTGGGTTTCTAATTGTGAGATTAATTGGTTTATTTGAAGAGAATACACTTGAAGTAATACAAGAGAGAAGACGAAGAAGCAGCAGCCTATAAAATCATTATATCCTAGTAGTTTTATTGATAAGGATTAGGAGAAATAGCTGGAAGACAGAGAAGGAATCATATTTAGCTCAGATAATAAAATTATATGAGCTGCCATTTTCATAACGTTAAACAAGACCTGAGGGAAGCTTAACTTAAAAGATTACACAGGTGGATTCTTTTCCTTCGGAGAACATGAAAGATTATTGTAAATGTCTTTTTACACAGCTGCCTCTTCAAACACAGTCCCAAGGAATTAGCCAAACACCCATTTTTCACAGCAGGGCCTGACACACACAGCAGTGTGGGGATGGAGCCTTTATTGCTGCTTCTGCTCAAAGCAGGGCACAGAGATGCTGGTTTTGCACATTATAAGTTGTACATTATAAGCTCCTTGCCACTGCCCTGCATCCCATGACTGGGGCACTGCAGAGCCTGGTTTGTGAGGCTCCAGGGACACCCCCAACCATGTGTGTTATGTGCTGATGGACAGAGCCAGGGGATAAACAGGTGATGATATATTAAGATATATCAGGTACCCACTGCCCTTGGAACAGGGTTCTGCAAGCACCCAGGTAATACCTGCAGGCAGGAGTCTTTCTTTTCCCAAAAAAAAAGGAGCACCAATGAGGAGAAGGAGAAAGGAGCTCTGTGCCCTCCCAACACATGCTGCTTCTGCTGGCTACCAGGGGTTTAATTCATTTAACAAGGCTAGGACAAATGGTTGGGTAGAATGTATCCAGGCTTGGTTGAAATAAGCATTTTGCCCCCCCCAGACTTTGCTGCTCAGTAACCCACATTTTCGGGACCACATTCTGTGAAAATGCTCCAGCTGAGCTCTTGGTTTAGGTATTCTAGTCCTTGGTTTAGCAGAAGTTCAGTCATATAGAAAGCAAGCAAGTCTCACCTAATATGAGAGATGAAGCTTACAACTTAAAAACAAGGTGGAGAAAAATAGCAACTTTTCTGTCCGAGGAACAGAAGAAATTCCCAAACAGTCATTTCCCTGGGCTGGGGAATTTGTTTTGATTTTTACCTTGATGTTCACTAACAGAAAGCACGAAGATCCAAAGCCTATGATGAGAGCAATAACCATTCCAAGACATTTACAAATGACCCTCTTAACTGTTTATGAGACATTATCTGAGGTAAAGCAGAGTAGGAGAAATAAACTTGAAGTAGGAAGAGCTGGCTCGCCTCCCAGATGGAGCGTGATAAAGCACCAGTGTCAGTGTTTCTTCTCAGTTTTATGGCAGCCTTTAACTGCTTGGTGTTTAGGATTTTTTATCAGAAAACGGAAAGGAGAAGGAATGGATCCAAAGCAAAGAGGTTTTCACAAACAATATTCTCCAAATGACTTTATGTGAGCAGATACTGTGTTATCTGGCTATCAAGATAACACCATTTATTTTTTTACTTGCCACAGCAGCCTGCTGCTCAGATTCCCAGTCCTGGGACGCACGAGGAATTCCTGAGCACAGCAATAAATTTTCAAAGGGATCTGGATGACCCCACTGCTTCTTTCCTATTAGAAAATATCCTGAACAAAGTTGATCTCTGGTCAGATTTACCTCATCAAAAAGATTTCTATTGTCTCTCTTAAACAGTGTGTTAGTTGTCGGTTCCCATATTCAGCAAAGCTCTCTGGATTTTGTTCATCTCCCCCAGAAGGTTAATAAATGGCCTTTCATGGAACCATGGGAATGGGATAATTTTTTTTTCACAGAAAGCTCTCCTGGAAGTTGAAATTATATGAAAACTACCTCACTTCTTACTTTTCCTTAGCCCAAAGTATAAATATTCTCGAACCACAATTTTTCACTGTCCCTTCAAAATATTTTCAACACTACTTTGAGAAAAAAAAGGGTAAAACTCAGTTGTTCCAGTTTGGACATATTGGATGAAAAGCCTCATGTTTCTCTATTCCAGTTTTATAAAAACTTTATTGAAATCGTCGTCAAATTTACAGAGTGAACAGAGTTTTGACAAACAAAAATGCCTAGATGCATTTAAACAACATTTTTCTCATGTTTCCTCATTTTTCTCATGCTTCCTTGCTTTCTCACGCAACTTGGAAATGCGTCAAGAAAACGCATTAAAGAAATCTGGCAAACAGGGGAAAAAAAATAAAATACTTCAGAAATGGAAGACTTCAGATCATACTTTACACATAAACAGAGGGCTTGGGTTTTCCACCCCACCAATGCTCACAACACTTCCTCTGGCACGTGCCATGAGGTGCCAGCAGGACCAAGGGATGGGCCCTGGGAAGAGCAGAGCTGAGGGAAGCACTGGAAATCCTTCCACCTTCTCTGACTGAAGCTGAAATCAGTTCATGAGGACAGAGCCAAAGAGCTGAGGAAACTCCGTGTCTCGGCACCCTTGGAGCCAATTTTTGCTTGGATCCAACATCACAGGCTTCTGCCAAGTCTGGTGTAAATTTATCATCAGCTCTCTTAAAACCAATTTTCTTCTTATCCCTCATTGATTGGTTGGGTTTAGCTCCCTCAGACCGAGCTACTGTCCAGAGGCAAACGGGGAAACCGTTTCTCTTGGAGAATTTACCTGAGGGTAAAGCACTTTGTGGGCTGTTACAACAAATGATGGGTTAGAGAATAAAAGAACCAGCCATTCCCATGCCATGAATGCTCTCAGTCACTCTGCTGCATGACACACTCCCACAGCTGATGCTCGTCTTTCTTTCTCATGGATAAAATACATCCCTCAGAGCAGCATCGCTCCTGATTTCCACCAGCACAGCTGAGCTCAGGCTCTGATCCAACAGCAACTTGTTTTATCGGTGTGGGGCTGCCCAAAGTGAGCTCTGTGCTTCGTAGCACGTGCTCCTGGCAAGCTCTGGGTCACCCACATGGCTCCCGTGGTGGACGGGCACACACAGCCCACCCAGGGATGGGATCGGGATGCCCCGGGGCTGCACAGCCACGTGGGAGCACACAGGGTCTATGTCAGTGGCAGGGCTACTGCTCCAGCCACACACCAGATGCTGGAAATCCTGGATAAATATGTAAAATCCCCTAATTCCACTGGTATAAAATTTCCAGGCAAAAAAAAAAAAAGAAGACGTGTCCAGGGAAACGGTGCAGCAGCCTGAACTTCAAGCCTTCGGTTCCAGGGATTTCAGAAAGCCCTGAATCAAAATTTCCACTAACACCATTTAAAAATATACCCTCCCCAGCCTGCAGGAACCCAAGTGAAGAGCTAAGAATTATTTGAGTGCACAGCAAGGGAAAAAAAGTCCCAGCCCTGAAGGATCAGAACGGGTTTGGAGATCAAGGAGAGGAAAGTGATGCCATCTCTGCAGTGATGGGATTTCCCTGCAGAGATACAATCCTGCTGGACTTTGCATCTTCCCCACACACACAACCTCACCACCACACCACACATTTTAACTCACTCCAGTTTCTCTCACGTTGAACCAGAGCTGCCCTAAGTCATATTGCAGCACGTTTGACCCTGTTTTTCTTCTTTGTTTTCACCTCCTAGTTGTGTTTTTCTCCAGATGAGAATAAAGTTCATGGAAATGCTTATGTGAACCACCTCTTCAAACAGAAATGACCAGAAATGTTCATTCACTGCACACCTTTTAGCTGCCTAGGCAAGGAATAAGTTTTTTCCCCAAGTCCAGCCACCCAGTAAGAGGTTAAGAAACAAATTTCTCTAAGATTTGAAATTGCAATTCTTCTGCCTTCATTATTTGCTGGTAGAATAAAATATAGCATCCAACTGTGAGGAAAGCAGTAAATCCTTATACTTAGCACAATCCCATTCCAAGCAAACCCCTGAGATCTGCAGCACTTTTGAGTACAGCCTAATGGCTGCAAACATTATTTTAAGCATCTTGTCACATCTCCACTGAAAAAGAAAATGAACTACTTTGTTTGAGGTCTGTGAGTTTGCACCGAGCAAGCTGATGCCTCTATAAAATACGTCCCACTGCCCAAAGCCCATTGTTTGGGTACCAAAAGCTCTGAGTATTTTGGGTACCAAATGCAGCCCTGAGCCCAGGATAACTCATTTGGAGCAGGAACATGCTGTCCATCTTCGCTGCCTTTGACTTGCTGTTTGCTGGTGTAGGTCTTGCTCGAGGGTACCTGCACCACAGACTAGATGTCTTTCCCAGACTACACATCTTTCCCAGTGCAGCAAAGTCAACCTCAGTAAAAAGGAAAAAAGACCGGAAAATCTCTTTTGCAATGTGATGCAACTTTACAATTTTTGATTCATGTCATCCAGCACGAGGTTTTCTTGGCCATGGAAGTGCTGTTCCCCATTTGCCTCTTGGAGCAAAATGAAAGGAGAGCCTGTGATGCTCACAGTGTGCTGCTCACGGATTAATGCTGAGAAGAGCAACTTGTAAAATAAAAATGGGGGCTTAAAAAATAAAATAGCTTGACAAGGAAATACTTGAGCTGCCTAAAACAGATTTATTTATACTTTTTGGCAAAGATCACATTTTAATTGGGGTTATTATTCACGTGAGCCTGGAACTATATAATATTATCCAATAATACAGAGAATCTGACACCAAAACATGTCACAGCACATATTACATTTGCATTTGCCAGGCACGGAATCCCATAAATTGTTGTCTGATAAAGGTCTGCAGTTCAATGGACAAGACTTTAAACAATTTGCAGGGGATTATGGATTTCGACATACAACATTCAGTCACGGTTATTCATAATCAGATGGTCTAGTGGGAAAGGGAATTAAGCCTCCAAAGCAGAGCCTGGCCTGAGGCTCTGTTGAACTTGAGAACAGTGCCTTCCAAACCTGGGCCATCCTCCACGAGAGCCTGACAGCCTCGGCTATTCAAACCTCCCAAGGAAGGTGAAGCTGATCGAGGTGTCTCTGAAGATAGGACACAAATCACCTGACAGCTCCAAAGATCCAAGAGGATGTGCAATGTACTGCATCCACAGTGCCATTTGGGGACAGAGGAGATTGAGATTTTATGGCAGTTGCTCATGTTTCCCATAAAACTCAAAGCTCACGCGGGGTGACTCAGGAGGAAGCAAGGGGCAATTGCAAGTTATTTCCCTGGAAACAGGGGCCTGAACTGGGAAAGGATTCAGCAGCGCCACTGCAGGACCAAAAAGCAGCAACAGGGATGGAAATGCTCCTCGGGGCATCAGCCCAAATACCCAGAACTCCTGAAAGATTCAGAAAGCTGTGATACAATAGTCAGTGACACCGTGCTCCCTACCAGCACTGCAGCACACACGGGGCACAGTGGAAAATTTTCAGGCTCGTTATCAAAAAGGAGGGTTGAGTAATCCAGCACTGGCGCCTGGTGCTGCAGCGTGGGAGCTGATCCCAGCCAGCGTGCCCTGGGCTCTGCCACCTCCCTGCAAGAGGGATGCTCAGCCTCCCTGGGGCATCTTTTTTCCAGGTGATGTCCCAGACTCTGAGGAAAAATGCAAATTAACTCCCTATTTTTTCTCATGCTTCATTTGGTTTAGTCCAGGCTGGGTCTTGTGGACCTGGTGGCTCCCCCAAGGGGGTGGTGGTGGGGAAATGGGGACCAGCCTCTCTTTGGAGAAGCACAAAGCCCTGGCAGCCAAGCCTACTTGAAAACCTCATGAAATGATGGTTCCAGGCAGGAAGACCAGCTCTGGGGCTCGAGCTGTGAGTTCAGTTATACTGACCCTCTGCTAACAGTCGTAATTAGGGATTGTGGATCATTGCCAGGAACACGTGCAAAGAACCCAGTAAAACCCCAGAGTGTCAGGGTTTGGAATTGTGCCGTCATGGAGCATTTCAGGAAAGAATGCACTTAATGGAATGAAATGGTAGAAAAGGAATAAAAGCAGGTGTTGCTTTCACACAGGTCTCTGCACACATTGAGGGCAATAAGAAAAACAGGGACGAAAAGATGGACCAGGGTGTGCAGGTGTACTTGGAAACGAGGACTAATCTAACTACCTTAGACTGCCTTTGCCTTGGTCTGTTGTCTTGGAGCTGCTGAAAAGAGCAGCAAAACACACAGCCTTGAAGATCTTGAATGTCAGCCTGGACACCAAGGTTATGCTCAGTTCTTTCCAAAATTTCCACAGGATCATTATCTTTCCCCCTTCTTTCTATGGAGAGTGCTGGAAACCACTTAAAAGAGTGTGTGCTGAACGTGTGCAATAAGACCAAAGCTTTCCAAGTGAACTGAGTGCTGGCAACACAATCCAGGTTGGGAGCAGTGGGAATTGCTCTGCTCCATTTAGTAAGAGTAGAAGAGCACCACCTCAGTAGTACAAACAGCCCTGCATCCCACTGCCAGGAATCTCTGCTGGCAAAGGAAGGAAAAGAAAGAGAGGCTCAAAAGAAGCCGTGCACATGCTTGCACCCCATGCTATGGCAATATCTGGTTCAAGATATTTTAATCTCTTTCATGATTAAGAAGCATAGTGCTCACAGGCTGATCTTTGTTTTCTCCTTGGGGTCTTGCTCTCTCTCTCTCTCTGTCTTGCAAACAAAGGGACTCATTATCTTCAGAGGGACCCTGTGAGCTCCCACACAGCACAGAGCAGAGCAAGTGAGGAATTCCACGGAAGTCCACAGGTAAAAAGTCCAAAAGAGATTGAATGTCAAGGGTGTTCAACCTCCCTCTGCACTTCTAAACACTCATCAAATCATACTGGTCAAGCTTTATAAATTTTTATCAGTTTTCTGATTTAAGCAAAGGCAAAGTTTGGTTTTCTGTTCCTCCAAAACACCAAGAGTTACACTAAGCTGCAAATTCACATGGAAGGGGAATTTTTGTTTTGTACTGAATGGCAAGAGCAAAGCAAGTGTTAAAGAAAAGGCACTGACCTGCTTTTTCCCGGCAATAGTAAAGTCATCTCACTTCTCTTCTACTGTTCAGATTGCCTTGTATTTAGATCCTCTGATGTGAGAGCTGATATTGTTCACTGGGACAGCTCAGATATGGGGCATGGCAGGGGGTGGAATAAAACAACGAGAAATTAAAGTATATCCTGAGAAATAAAAAGATGTTTCCTTTTATCATCTGAAAATGAAATTAATCTGATTTAAGAGCTGCCTGGAACAACTCTTGACAGCTACCAACAACCCCTAAAACAGCTAGTGCAGAGCATTTTGAAATGGGATACAGTGACATTCATTTTACTGATGGGCTCCTGAGGCAAAAAAGGCAAGAAGTGACAGTCCACACACTCACCCTGGAGAGTAACTGAATCTGGGGGCTTTGCAGGTGTAAAACCACCACAGAAGATTGACACATCCTCCTCACCTTACCAGAGCTCCATGGAAGTTTTCTGGAGCAGAACTGACACCTGTGTAACTTCTGTGGCATCAGTGATGGGAATGAGGCCATGTCAGTATAAATTAGTATTAGAGATGTGAGTCAAGCCTTGTAGGTAAAAGTCTTGAAATTCTTATCTCTGATCCACCTGTCAGCATGAAAAACAAAATGGTCAACAAGCATGAAATCCAGCTTCTTAGCTACTTCTGGCTAAAAGTGTGAATTTAGAGTAAGGAATAGTATAACTATTAAATGATTAATGTAGGTCTTCCAAATAGTCACAGAGCTGGAGGCCGTGAGGATTTTTTAATACTGCTCGAGATTTTTTACTGGAATTTTAAGTTTTTGCTGACTAATGACTTAAAAGTTCATTTAATAATTCCATCATAGAGAAATGGCACTAAGGAGAAGTGCACACTTCTCAGCCATCCACTTGCCTGGACAAGGGGCAGAGGTGACCTTAGTCCTGTCTGGACCAGTGTTGGTCCCTGAGGGAGGACACCCAGGAGCTTTCACATCCCTGATGCTTCCAGCCATCACCCATCTTCTTATGTGACACCCCCCCTTTGGGGCTTGCAGTGAGCCTGGGACACAGAGCTCGTTTCCAAATTGGCTCCAACACCTGATTTCCTCATTGGTGCCATAGCAGCCAGGCATTCCTTAGGGTGCACTTCTTGTTTTTTTAACATTATTAATTGTCCCCATTGACAGTTCTAAAGGGTTGGTTGGGGTTTTTTTTTTTCCCCTCTGATAAGACAAACACGTTTGAATCAAACAAGCCTTGACAAATGCTGGAGATACACACTGTGCTGAAATAATGAGGGAGCTCTTTCACACAACACCACAATATGTATGGACAAGTTGTTGCACTGGAGCAGTATGAGCTTGTCAGATCACAGTGAAACGGTATTCACTGAAAGAATAGGTACAAGGAAGAACAGCAGAAAGTATTCTGCTGTACAAACATGCAGCCAAGCAAAACCTTTGGGAGAACAGGACACAAGCAACACTGAACCATTTTCTTTACAGTACTGCCTGGTGTCAATAACGCCGCCCACAAGAAATTGAAATATTTTCCTGCAAAAGAGAAAAGCAGTAATTAAGTCTCAGATTTAGTCAGGCCCAGATGCACAAAATGGAGAGGATCAATAGCTGCCAATGGCTGCTGTTTTGCAAACCATATAAACCTGAAATAAGCAAACAGAAAGGTGATGCCTGTTAAAATACATGGGTTTATAGCAAATGTAGACAGAAGTATACAAAGTTACGCTTCCCAAATCAGTGAATTGACTTGTGTGTATTCTTAATAATGTTAATTCCCTGCTAAAATCAGGGAAAGGAAAGCGTGACAGTCGTCCTTCCCACCTGTCATGAGCTTGAACATGTGTGTACATAACATGGGCAACCACCTTCACAAAGCACGGGGCAGCCTGACTCACTCTGTCAACAGAACTCCCCAACTTCATAATTACAAGGAGGTGCCAGTTTCATGCTATTCAAAGTGTATTTTGAAGGGTAAATGCTTTCTGGCCTGACAGCAGAGCTACCTGAGTCACTGGCCAGGCTGTGCCCAGCTGTGCCCGTGGCTGGATGACAGGAAGGAGCAATGCTCCATGTCCAGCTGGGAGCCTCCTCTTCCACCCCTGTACCACCACAAGACTGAGCCCAGGCAGCTATACCCGCCTGGTGCCCCTGGCACTGCCCTCCCCCGTGTGCCAGTGACAGCCAGGGATGTTGTGCACAGCCCTGGGTGGGTGTTTCAGCAGGAACAGGCTTGCAGGGAGCTCCTGCCCTCGCTGGAGGGGTTAGCAAAGGAAAGCTGTGAAATGGGGGTTGCCGAGGGCACACCTTGTCTGGGGTTCACACGGGTGTTTAATGCAACAGGCAGTGTCACCACCACCCAAAGGAGAGCTGGTTGCTCTGCTGGAGGGGAGGTTGGCCACTCCATCTCAAAGGAGCTGTGTATGTGTAACCACCTGCCTCAGGAGGAGGTGTTGGCAGGAGGGATGGATTCTCCTGGAGGGAGCTCCTCTCCAGCACACTGACCACAGGCATTAGCTGCCTCTGATCGATGTGCAAGTGGTGGTTTGCAGTGAGTCCTTCCAGGCTGATTTAGTTGGACCAGAGGACTCCAACACAACCTGATCCTGCCGGATTTCTGCCTCCAGGAGGAAGGTCAATGCCCTGCAGTCATGACCAGGGTGATTCTGAGTGTGAGATGGCCACTGCTGCTCTGAGCCAGGGCTCAATCTCCCCTCCCAGCCCAGCTCCCCACTGCATTTATGCAAAACACAACAATCTCACCTCCAGAGACTTTCTGGAGGGCAGAGAGCATCATCCATAGGAGCTCAATACGTGACCTTGCCCTTGAGCATCTGCCTGCCCCAGCACGTCTCTCCTGTCACTGACAAGGTGCATCTGGATCCTCCTCACACGCCAGAGAAGGAGGAAGGCAAAAATCCTGCTGCTGAGACTTACAGTCTAGCATTGGCACAGCAACCCGGGAGGGAAAGGGCTTTCATGGAACCAGCTGCCCCACTGCCACCGCCCGGGGCTCCCAGTCACCTGCTGGCTTTGCTCTCGTCGTTGCTGCGGGCGCTGCTGGTCAGGGGAAGATGATACTGCAACCCAACACAGAAATAATTAACGGCGGGACACCGAGGGGAACATGCCACGATGATCAAGAGCCTGCAGCCTGAGGCAGCCCAGCGTGTCAGGAGGAGGGAGCAGCATCCCTGCGAGAGCTGCCACTCAGCGCTCTAATTTGTAGTGGTCGGGCAGCCCCCGCCTCCCGCCGTCGGAAAACAGCTCCGGGTGGGAATTTACGCTGGGAGGAATTAGCAGCCAGCCTGCCCTGGGCTGGGAGGAGGCGTTTCGGGTTTCAGAGCTGCCCATGGGTGATGGGAGCTGAGTGCTGGGAAGGGGGATGTGGCACCTCACAGCACCTTCCCACCGCCACCGAGCCCGTGGGCAAACTGCGGGAGAGCTCCCGAGGCAGCACTGCTGGGCAGGTGCTTCTCTAGCTGCAGACACCCTGGGATTCTTCCCCCACCATCAGCTTTGACCCTAATAATCCTGCAAATAGCCATTGGGGTTTAACTTCTGCTCCCGGTTAAAAAAAGATGGAAGAAAATGAAAGCCAATGCAAGATGTTACCTCTGCAGCAGCTCGGCAAGTCCTGCTGCCTGGGGAAGGGGCAAAGAGTTGGTTTCTGGCTCCCTTTCCTCTGGGATGAAAAAGAGAAGCTGAGAAAGGGTCTGGAAGAAGAAAGGTAAAGCAGGTTGAAAACACAGTTTGGTCCAAGAAGCTGCAGGAGGTGGGAGAGGAGCAGCAATGACAGCCGGGCCAGGGCACGGGGACCCGTGTGCGTCCTGCAGGACACCCCACAGAGACAGCCCTGCCCACCCAGCTCTGCCAGGAGCATGCCAGTCAGAGTCCCTCATGGCAGAACACTGGCAGGGAAGGGGCTGGGAAGATGTTTGGAGGGAAGCAGAGGAGCAGAGTAAGGCAGCTGGGGTGGAGAGCATGGGTTGAGTTCTAAGGAGAGGATAATAGAGCCAAGTAAATATTGCTCAGCTGGAGGACAGCAAAGAGGACATAACAGCCTACAAGTATCTGGAGGCTGTAAACATCAAGGAAGGAGAGGAGTTATCTACAGTTGTACAGGGGGCATAACTAAGAGTAATGGGATGAGATTAAGAAAGGAAGGGTTTAGGCTGAATATCAGGAAATATTTCCCAATAATGAAATGGGTCAGGCTGCTGAATAATCCTTCCAGGGAGGCCACAGGAGCACAGCACTTCAGATGGTTACAACTACCCGTGACTAAAGCCTGGGTTATGTGCTGCCAGGCATAATGGATAATGTAATTTCTGTCTCTGGCCTCCAAGGTTATTTCCTTTCCATCTCTACAGGAGGAATAACTTATCAAGTAGTACATGCTTTGAACATGATGCTCCTTTTGTCAGAGACAAAAGAGCCTCCCAGTTCCCAGCCCTGCCAGGAGTGTCACTGCAGTCAGTGGATTAGGGATGCTCCCTGCTCTGCTGGTCACACCTCTTGCCTTTAGGGCACAGGCACTTCTCCCAAATTCCAACCAAAACAAAAACAACTTGGTTTAAAAAAAAAAAAAAGTGGAGCTGGTTTATTTTGCATTTGTTTTAAATTTGCAGTTAGATAGCATGAAATGTATACATTTAAAACAAATTGACCCAAAAGAAGTGCTGGAAAATAGGGAATGGAAGCTCACAATAAATACCCTTGTTCTTTTGCTGTCTCATTTGCCATGAGGCAGATCTGGACTGGCCTCAATTCAGCACCAAACTACTCCTTCAGTCAAATCTAGGAAGTTTTTGTACCCCACAAAATCTGTACTTGTCCAGAAAACAGGATTTCCAGTCATTTTCATGGGAGAGTTTCCACTCAGCCTTAATGAGGAAGAGTCAGTCACCCAAACAAGAGGAAGGCATCAGGGAAGAGCCATCCATTGGGATCTGACTCACTGTATTTACATCTGTAATTAGGGGCCTGGGAATGCTCAGCAGCAGCATTAGGTGACAGAACTAGAACACTACCACCTTCTACAGCTCTTGTGAAAAGCATCAGGTACAATCCCTCGGCAGGGTGGCAGGACTGGGACATGAGGGCACAGGGGATGAGAGGATGGAAGCACATGTTTCCTGAGGACAGGAGTGCTGAACCTTCACGGTTGCACCATGTTTCTCCTGGTTATTAACAGTGGACAGCAGGAGAGCAGCACAGGACTGAGTTCCAGTGTCAAATGGAGATCCCCAGGTGCTGAACATCAGGGATGAGGCAGTCAGGGAAGAGTGGGATTTCTGAGTCTTTCAGAGCCCCAAGGCTGGGACATGGGAGGAGGAGGAGGAGGAGGAGGACTAGGGAGCTATAATAAATAAACACTCTTTAACACTAGATCTCAGGGATAATAATCCATCAAATCCTAAAGGTTTGCCCTGAGCAACTCCCCG